TTGTGAAGTTGTGGATTGTCTACTGGAGCGAACGACTGATGGAAAACGGAAGCAAAGTATCTTAATCTTTGTTAAACGTTGCAACTTTATTTATATACTTAAGTGTAATGAAATTAAATAAAACTTTATTACTTTTGTATAATACAATAAGTGTTTTGCGATTTTATATATGAAAATAAAAAAGTAGCGTATTTTTAAGATTTGTAGCCTGAAGATAATTATCACTAGCCCAAAAAGTAGCGTGTCGCCCAATTTGAAATTTTTGTAGCGAGGGCACTTAAAAAGTAGCCCAATCCGCTACTTGTAGCCCAATCTGGCATCACTGGTAGCAGAATCAACTGTTCAAAAGTGGTTTGCAAAATTTAAAGCGAGTAATTTCGGCCTTGAAGATGCTCCTTGCTCGGGAAGACCTCCCGTTATTGAAGAGGAGCGGATCAAAGCGTTATTGGATGAAAACCCTCATTATACAACTCGAGAAATTGCAGACGTAGCGAAGTCATCAAACAGTACCGTATTCCAACATGTACAGAAGCTCGGATATGTGAATCGTTACGACGTTTAGATACCTCACGACTTAACGGAAAAGAACTTACTGGATTGCATTTCCATTTGTGATTCTCTTGAAAGATTAAATGAAAATGACCCTTTTCCGAAGCGTTTAGTGACGGGTGATGAAAAGTGGATCGTTTATAACAACATCGGCCGAAAACAATCGTGGGGTAAGAAAAATAAACCACCATTAAAAACTCCAAAGACCAGTCTTCCTCCAAAGAAGGTCATGCTCACAGTCTGGTGGGATTGGAAAGGAATCCTGTGCTAAGAGCTGCTTCTACAGAATCAAACAATTGATTCTGATAAGTATTGTTCCCAATTAGATAAACTGAACGCGGCAATTAAAGAAAAACGGCCGGAACTGGCCAATAGAAAAGGCATTGTGTTTCGCCAAGATAATGCCAGGCTGCACACGTCGTTATGAACACACCAAAAATTATTGGAACTAGGCTGGGATGTTTTACCTCAACCTCCATACTCACCTGACCTTGCCCCGTCAGACTACTATTTGTTCCGTTCTCTGCAAAATTCCTTTCATGATAAAAACTTTGACACTTTGTCAGCTTGCAAAAACCACGTGGATCAGTTTTTCGCGGGAAAAACTGGAAAGTTCTATGAAGAGGGTATCTTGAAGCCCCCATAGATGGCAACGCATCATTAAAAACAATGGCACATATGTAATGGAATAAAAGTATATTTTTAGTTTTAAAACAGTTTCTTTTATTTTTTTTAAAAATCGCTATGAACTTTCCAAACAAACCAATATGAAGGAAAGCTTTGTTTGCGAAAAGAATCAATCTTGTTTACGCCATTGACCGGACGAAATATATTATCGCCATCGTCAGGAGGTATCAAAAGCCATTTTTAATTAACCAAGATATAACTTAACGGATTCTGTTAAACCAAGTGTACAAAACTTTAAGTGCCACAGACATCTCTCTGTGTCAGCTACCTACTGTTTTTATCTCTTACGCTGCTTTCACTGCAGTGAAATTAAAATTTCCATAATGATTGCATTAGCACCAACGTTTACTTTTTTCGAATTAGTGGATTATGCCTGGAATAGCTGCAATCATGCACTGTCTGGTGACAGCCTTAGTCACTAATCTGAAACAGCTGTGTTTTGTTTCCTATAAGTGTCATCCATGCTTGAATATACGTAAATTTAATCTCTTAAAGTATTAATTGATAAAATATACATTATCATTACATAGGATATAAATGGGATGTATCAGTAATCATTTTGTTGATGTTACAGCTTATCAACTAGATGAGTAAGTTATAACTAATGACATTATTATAAAAAATCCAGCAACAAGTTGCTTAAGTTTCCTGGCTGTTATGAGATTTTATTAAAAATATAACTATTATATTGGTATATATATTAAAAGCAAAATGTTCTGTCACTGCCACAAACAAATAAATTCTGTTTGAAAATTGAATTTGCAATTTGACAATTTCGAAAGAACTTTTAAACTTTTTTGCAATTGTTGTAATTTTTGATTGATTTCATTTATTTTTTAATTGATTTAATTTTAATTTTAATTAATTAATTTTGATTTTATTTTTTATTTTAGTTTCGGTTTTGGTGTAAAGGCCAGAGTCTTAATTATTACACATTGCCACATGACGAAGCATCCGTGATTATGGCATGTACTGACTGTTTTGTACTAGTAGTTACTGTGGATCGTGCCTGGAATGGTGCGTCGTCACGGCTGTTTTGATTGTGATCTGCTCGTATTTGTATTGGCGTTGTTTTTGATTGAAGATGGTGGTTCCGACTGGATGGTTACTATGTGAATATAGTCGTTTAAATTATAAAAGCTATTTTTTGAAAGTATAGAAGCCATTGCTTGCAGTATGCATAAAATTTTCGTGCAAAATGGCCTTTATGGACAAATATCCTTTTACAAATATAAATACTGACCAAAACCTGAAGTATAGCAAATAGATGTCGACAACTGCCATAAATAATTGGGCTATAATTTGGAATATCCTTTTGATATGTAAATTTTCTAACAAATTTTTTTAGATACTAATTAAAAATATTTTTTGTACTTTGCATTTTACTAATAATAAAATTTGAGTTCAGAGTTGAAAGAATTTTACCAACTCTGACTCTGTAACGCTGCTGTAATCCCTGCAGTTAGTTAGTGTAAGAATTGGCGACATACCAGGATCTAAACTAGAGGGGGGCAACTTGTATTAGTTTTGAGGAAGTGGGGAGGGAAAGTGAGATTTCACCGTGGATGGGTCTAGTCTAGTCACAATATTCATTATTCAAACTGATACTAAATTGATACGTCTGTGCTATGTGTCTGTGTGTCAATTACTACACTAATTTTTCTTCTAGGGAGGTGCAGCTGCCCCTCCCTGCCCCTTGCTGGGTACGACCTTGGTAAGAACGCTAACCAACAGCGTTCCCTATCAAATCAAAGCACTCTTAATGAGGAAAAGAGTCGGGAGAGCAGTTTTCTCTATGATTGATGAAATACACTTTATTTCTTTTTTCCAATTCCTGTTAGTCAAATGGCAATTTTATAACACAAATGTTTTTTGAGATAGTAAGTTTGTTTTATTAGTTTTTACACCAAAGTAGGTATGGTTCTTATTCTTGAAGAGGGTTTGTCTAATTGATTGTAGGAATTGCACTTTCGGAAGACTGTGCTTTATATAGTAGTTGGAGTTTTTGCTTGTTATTATTGTTTGCCATTTATGGGCTAGATGAAGATAGTGTAAGTACAAACAACTCTGTTTAAGAATATGGTTTTAGTGAGTTGTATATATTTTGCCCCTGGGATAAAATCTTACAAATACTCTCAGTTTTTGATCAGGTGCTGTTGTTTACCTGCAATTTGCTTTTTCACAGATAAAAGTGGAAGATGGTGGTAAGCCCCCTCTGTCTTCTGTAACGAGACTGGTGGTGGAGGTAGTCGACCGGAATGACAACCAACCCGAGTTCCTGGTGCCCAAGTACCACTGCCATGCGCTAGAAAAAAAGTCTTCGGACGATGCCCTTCTTTGCCAAGTAAGAAGCCTCTCTATCTCCTCACTTGTTGCTTTGTTTATGGTCAAATTAATTGGCAAGGGTGGATTACTCTTGTCCGGTTAGTTTTGGATAATCTATCTTGTGGTATTTAATGGTTTTTGTAAATAGTTTCAAACTTAGGATGGCCATTTAAATATAATAACTGACCAATTGATAACTTATGTTTTGTTTGTGAAATGCAAAGATTTAGGCTAAATGTGTGAGATAAGAAAGGGTTTTCTTTGGCCCACTAAAGCAAATATGCAACAAACCAAACATGCAGTAGATACAAGGAAAAAAAATCTTATTTTATTTATCTATGGTGTATTAATAACAGGTACAGTAGAGGATGACAACTCTAGGACAATTACTCTGGCAGTACTTGAAACCTGATCACTGGCATAACAACTACAAAATTTTATACACAATCATAACACACCAAATTGCAATATTTTTAACTTGTAGAACAGAAAGAAAGAAAAAAAAATTTTTTTACAAAATTAAAATTCTTATAACTAATCTTTAAAAACTAAACTTACAACTAATATGGGAAATTGAAGATAGGAGGCAAGAAATAGTAAAAATGGAGGATAGGACAGAACAAAGAGACCAAGCGGTTCCATTCCCTGAACACTGGTAGTTCAGTTGTGTGTTCACATCTTGCCAGAACAGGCTGGCAATGTTGCCACAACTGTTACAAACATGCCAGTTTTGATACTATTAGCAATTCTAAGTAACAGAGTACTATAACAAAAAACAGTACTTTTTAAAAAAATATTTGAAAAATACTAAAATTTGGTTCTTTTTGAAGTTTCTGAAAAAGTAATTTATGAATTTTCAATTGTTTTCAATTAAAAACCAAATCAAAAATGGTGGTGCTAACTCAAAATTCAAATTTATAGCTAGACATTTTAATAAAAATATTCAAATTATATTGTTTTCATTAAACTTGTTTGAATTTTTTATAGCTAGATAGTATTATAAAAATAGCTGGGCCATTATAATTTAGATAATTTTCCCAGATAGATTATTCATAAATCCACTAAATCTAGCAAAAAAATTAGCTAAATTGGCAACTTGATCAAAAACTGTTGGCAGCACTAATTATGCAAGCATGTGTTGCTGCCTTGAAATGTTAACTTTCAGTTGTTATCTTTGGCAAAATATAGTTTTTCATTAATTTTAGAATACTCGTAAATATTCCTTCAAGGCCATCTTACAGTTCACTAAAATGAATGATAAAAAAGAAAAGCTAATGATATACACACCAAAAGTCTATTGTTAAGGGCTGATAGCAATTCTTGGCAGCCATCTGAGCATTTAATTCAAAGAATGCTTGGTACAATTGCAGATGTAAATGATGCTGGTGGCACTTCAACAGAGCTATAGACCATGCCCAAAGGAGCAAAAAAGTCAAAGGAGCCATACTGCTAAATGTGATTCTTTTTGACATATAGCTCCCTAAAATCAGTCGCACATAATCTGCTAAGACTATCGCACTTAACTATTTAGCCCACCGTACTATACTGGCTTTGAGTAGCCCACTTGACTGTGGTGTACTTGATGTTATATAGTTTCAGAAGGGTATGGGGGCCTGCCCCCACCGAGGTGCTGAGGAGTGAGCAATAGCTAGCATCAAAGTGCATAACTGCATGCGGAGCGTTGATCAAGACTCACATTTGTTTACTTTGATGTTATGGAACTTGGAGAATAGGCAGGAGTACTGGTTCAAGGTATAAAATGTTTTCGATCAGTAGAAGTTAATGCATTTATTATTTGTTGTAGACACTGATCTCAGTCCCTATAATCTAACTTGCTTGTAAGTGTGACATCTGCAAACCAGATGGCAACCGAAACTCCTTTCATTGGGTTCCATATTTGGAGGCAAATATCTTGCAAAGGATTAGGTGTTGGACTTTTCTTTATTCTTTGCTGATAAATATTGTTAGAATGTCTGATCACCATGCTGTACTGACTGTTAAACACATGATAGGCTTAGCAGAGCATGCATTGTGACTTACTGTAGCACCTGGAAGTAGGCTTTAGGCTGATTTTGATCTTGCAAAAGGTCACATTTAGAGGTATGGTTCCTTTTATGTTTTTGCTCCTATGGGCATGCTTTACAGCTCTGTTAAAGTCCCAACAGCATCATTCACATCTGCAATCTTGCCATTTTTATTTGGTACTTTTTAACTTTAAAATTTGGTACCTTTCAAATTTTTTTGTGGCAACCTGCAGGCTGGCCACGTGGAGTTTTCTGGGTTTTCTCCATGTCTATAATGCCTAAACAGTTACCCTGAAAAGACTTCCTGAAGGCATTTCTCCTGGCTCTTCATGAGTAATTTTGTATGGTCAAGCAAAAACCTATAGATGGCTCTGGAGGATAAACGACTATGCAATAACCTCCATAATAACCCCAGTATGAGAGAGGTAGAACAAAGGTACTGGGTCCTGCAGACATCTTTCGGTTTTTGTTGTCTTGAGAGGCTATGTGGAACTTCTTGTACCATAAACACTTTCTTTTGTCTCTCAGTTCTTGAGGTCTATTATCACTAAGTTGTTGGTTACTTAGTAGAAAATCTCAACTAGTCAAGTTTGATACCAGATTATGAGCACATTGCTAGAAAAGTTCTCTTGCCTAGGACTTGACATGAGTGAAACTCTTCTGAGTAAATGCCACTCTTCCTCACACTTTGTCCCAGCAATTTCAAAGATTTGCTCTCAAAGTTACAATTTCACCTGTATACTCTGGTAATGGATGGTTTTGCACTCTTGACTTTGGTTTGTCCTCTATCTTTCAGGCACTAGCTCAAAAAATGACATTTTGCCTTGTTTTCCCTTGGGCACTGTTAACTCATCTTAACTGACTATTCCAGGAAGTGACCCTCACTTCCAAGAAAGAAGAATTAAGATTAAAAGTTCTAGAATGGAGAAAGAACAAAGAATGGGAATAATGCAAGAAAAAAAATACATAAAAAGTGTGTGGCTGCATGCCATATGTCTATATGAAGCCACACACGTAACATGTTTTTATTATAAATACAGTAAAACTTCTCTAACTCAAACATCTGTAACTCAAAGAAAACAAAGCACTTGGTAGGTCTCAATGGAATAGCATACAGATTTAATTAACATCTCCAACTTGAATTTCTTAACTCAAATTTTCTCCAAGTCAAAATTTTTGTGGTTCCATGACACTGATTTATGTTATTTTCAACTTCCCCATTCAAATTGTAATATTTATTCTGTCCAAATTGATCTTAATTATTGAATTTCCATGAAATTTTCATACAATTAGTTGTATCTATTCTCCAACACCAATTTTCAGACAATGCTCTAGTCCAAAGCAAGAAAACCTCTCGCTTCATCTTAACAAGATGTATTTGAAAAACTGTTTATTCCATTAGTTACATTGAACATTCTGCTAAAAGGCATTACACAAGCAAAAAAAAACTATCAAAGATTCTTTACATAATGCAAGAAAGGTAAAAATACAAATGTATTTAGAATTGGCACTTTTTTCACTCTATTGTTCTCTAACTTGGATTGTATGTAAAAGTTTTTCTTTTCACTTGGAGCTTTGAGTTAGAGAAGTTTTACTGTAATATCTGTTATATTTTGAAAAAAACATATTAAAATTTTTTTAGCAATATTATTCCAAAGTTGTAATAAAAATAAAAATAAAAGTACTGTATTACTAAATTAAGGCAACAAAATCTTTTTAATAAGTGAGAAACATCTTTGAACTTTTTTACAGTTTGTCTTTGGCTGTTGCACTTTTTAGAATTGAATGCCTAGTCCTACGGTGTTCCAGAGATAGGCACTGTACAATAATGTCATGTCTCATGGGGAAGGGATGTCCCAGCATCCTGGCCAATTAGTTAGTTTGTTCCAGTTAGCAGAAAGGTACCAAAAATTTGTATTAATAAATTAATTGGAAATACAGAGGAGCAACTTTCAGAAACATGAGCCAAGAAAGGTGTCTTTAGTGTGGCTTGATCTTGATATCCAGAGCCAGCACTACTGTCAGTTCCTCCTTCCTACTCCAACACACCTCTTTGCTGTCTTTGCTGTTAGAGATGGAAGGTAGTAGCCATCCATCTCTAACAGCTAAGACAAGATACCATGTGCCTTGAGTCAGTTAGTGATTGACTATTTTTGTGTGTAGTTTTTTTGTCATAATTATCGAATCTTATGTTGCATGAAATTTAAGTATGTTGAATCGTAATAGGGGTAAGGGGTACTTCTGTTGCATGTTCTGGTTTGACATCGTAAAAATCTGGCAAGCCTTTTTATATATTACAAATGACTCATTAGTTCATGTTTTACAAGTCTGAAGTCAAATAAATGTTAAGATAAATAACATTATGAAATTGTTGTGCTGTTGCTATGAAGTCATACTAGATCATCATTGTTTGTAAGATCGGTTGAGTTAAACAAGATAATTTTGTATACAAATAGAACTTAAGTTTTTGTCAGGACGTAGAACTATGACTAAGCACACTAATCTATTTACAAGTTAAACAATTACTACATTAGATTTATTAAAAATGTTTATTGAATGTTTTGAAAAATTCCAGTTTATTTTCAGAATGTTACCAAAGGAAAAGAAAATTTAGAGAATCTGGTGTTTTCTTTATAAATTTGTCAAGAGATAGTTAAATTGTACTCTTTTCTTGATAAAGAATTCTGAAACATGCTGTGTCTTTTTCTATTGCCTTTCGTAGATATATGCTCTCCATTGGGATTATATTCTTCCATGATGGTCGAAAATTTGTCAAAATGCATGAAGGCTTCATTCATATTCTTGATTGTCAAAATCTTAACAATGAGTTCATTATCAGGTTCTTCTTCATTTTGTACTTCATTTATCTCTTGTAGTTTAATCAAGTCTTCATTTGACAGCGATTCTGAATGAAATTGCATTAACTCATCAATATCTTCATTGTTGACATCTAAGTTTAATTCATTCATTATATTGGTTATTTCAGTGACTGAACCTGTAATGTCAAAAATGGACTAGTGACTAATAGTTCATGAGAAAGGGAGAATCATTACATAAAAGTATGTGCATTTTGCCTTATATATCAGTAAAAATTAAAAGTATGAAATGTGTACGAAATAGCAAATTGTACGAAAGTAGAGGACTGCCTTACTTTAGTTGGAAATGTAATGCAGATGGTGTTGAGTAGATGGTTATTGATAATGTAGCGATGACAGAACAAAGCATTCTTATGACACATCTCCAACATTCTGTCAATTCAATTGACACATCTCCATTGTGTCAATTGAAGAACACCGTACAAACCCAAGGGAATGAAATAACTCTCAAGCAAAGTATAACAAAAATAAGTTTTGATTAATGTAATACAATGAACTCCTGTATAATGTGCTCTCCAATAACTTGAATTCGTATAAAGAAATGAAAAAATTGTGACTAATACTCATATACTCATACAAAGTTTTAATTTTATCATCCAGAGGTGTATATTTTTTTCTTTAACATCTAGGCCTAGGTTTAAACTTGCATAAAATTGTCTGATAATACACATCTCGATAACATGATTTTCTGTAATGCAGAATGTATCACCTGTGTTGAATGAGTCTGCTGTACTGTTGTTATTTAGTATTTTATTTTGATAAAAGTGTAAATAAATCACTTTATGTTAACATCCATTCCATAATTGGTACAGTGTATTTACATCATAATAATCCAAAGGTTTTTCTGGGGGATGACCAGTGTGACATCATTTGTGAGAGGGGTTAAAATGTTGAATTTTAGCATAACGTCATTAATGAGTGGTTCATAGATTAAATTTTAAAAAATGTTACAAATAAAGTAAAATAAAAACATGAACTAAATAAATAATAATAAAATGAAACCTTTATACAAAGTTTGTTAATGTTTATGGTGATGTTAGGTCTAAGTAACAAAATTTTGTTAAATTAAACATTCAAAGCTAAAAATCTTTTCTGGAACACTGATTCCAACATTGATTACCTAATCAGTTACACATTGCTTATCTTACACATGATTGTTTCTGGTCTTGACTGTGAATGTTCTGATTGTTTTTTGACTCTGAGTCTGAATAGCAAAGAAAAAAAGTGTTTTTTGACTTTTTGTAAGGAACCAAGTCCGAGCATTATTTTTATTTACTTTTATTTTGCTTTTTATTATATTTTTGTTTGGGGCTTATGTTTTGTTAGGACGAAGGTTTCCTCACCATTCACCTTAGAAACTTAAAAAAATAGAAGAGAAACCAACTCACCAACGAGAGAAAAGCGCCGTAGAAAAAACTCACACACACTTGCATTCCCAAGCGGAAAAAGTAAGTTCGCACCAAGAAAAAGGGGGGGAGAAGACCTCACGAGCACAACTTAAATTCGCTAAACCTTAAAAGAATAAAACATCCCGAAATTTGGCAAAAAGAATAATGTAAAAGGTTAGCGAGTATTGTCGGAAAAATAGGCTGCCAGACAAGTAGAAAAAAATTTATTGTTAGCGAATAAGTATGTAATGGAGGGGAGTGATCTCATTCAGAATTGTGACGTTACCTCACAGTATAAAAACCGAATCTCAAATGAAGATGCCTGAGGTGAACTCCAGATAGCAACGAGCTTGGTGAGCTTTGTAGCAGTGAACGAAAGAGAGGTGTCCGATAGGATCAAATAGTTCCAAGGCGATTTTGAAGTTATTCGATTTGTGGATCGACGAAGAGAGAAAGTCTTGAGAGTTGAGGAAATAGGTTCCTAGTATATTGAGGAGACGATTAGGATCTTTAATTTATAAGAACTATTGTATATAAATTAAGTCTTTGATTTTGTTGCATTCCAAAGGGGAATAGAATTAAGGTAGAAACTAGATTGATTTCAGTTTTGTCGGGTTTGACTCTTATTGATTTTCATTGAATAAATTGTTGTTTGAATTTTACTAAACTTTGTATATAGTTTATTATTAGAACTTTAATTAAATATTTTATTTGTTATTGACAACTTTGTCATTATTTAATTTTGGTGCACGCTAAAAGTCCAGGCCTGGCACACTAACGCGAATCTGCGTAAAGTACCCGTTAGGGAACGGCTATATCCGGCACACAGTCGTGTCGTTAATCGTTGGAAAGTCGGAAAAATAATATAGTACTTTACATTTTTACTAGGTTTTGGCAGTAGATGCAGACAGAGGTGCCAATGCAGATGTCACCTATGAAATCATAGAGGGAAACAAGAATGGAAAATTTAAAATTCATTCAGAGGATGGAACCATCACTTCCCGAGCCACTTTGGTCGCAGGACAGAAATTTGAACTTCTGGTGAGTACCTGCTAAATATATCACTTTGGTTTGTGAAGTATTCAAGAAAATGGGTTGACAGTTCTTTCATAAAAAATATGACATTGAGTAAGGTTGCACATAACATTGCATGTTGAAATGTTAGTCAATATAAAAAAACAGTAACAATATTCATAATTTATACTAACATTTATCAATAACTTTTTATCAAAACCTTTTGTTGGTATTCTATTTTATAGTTTTTAAATCTTATATTGCATATTAAATTTCCTACATTGTTTATTCTATGTCATTGTTTTTTTCTCTTTCTGATATAACTTTCAATGTCAAATAACATGTAACAATTAGTAATTTGTAACATGATATATTATCTAACAAACTTTGCCTTTCTCTTCTTTCAACACTAAACAATTTTTTTTATTTACTTTAAAATTTTTTCCCCTCTGCAAGTTTTGAATTCTTCTCCAAATCCATATTACTGTTGCTTTAAAATATCTAATTTTATGTTTTGTTGATGTCCAACTTTTGCTTCCAGTTCCATATAGTACTTTCTATATATGATCTTAATAAACTTGTCCCTTATTCTAATATCTGTGTTTCTGTTAGTGATTGATTGTTTCTTTGTGTTAAATGTTTATTTATACTTTGCTAGTGAAGTTCTTATTTTAATTTTTATAATTCTTCTATTATTCTTTACTCTTATACAACTATTATATTCTACTACTATTCTTTACTCTTACATAGCTCACCAGATGGCGTGGAGCTATGGCAAATCGTCATTTAAGCGCTTGTTCTTTTTGCAAGCACAAAGTTTTGAAAAGTGACTTATTAGTTTGTTCTAATTGTTCTAAATTTGCACATTTCTATTGCTGTGGAATCCAGGCAGCTAATTTTTATAAGTTTAGTAAGTCCTACAAAAAATCTTGGAAATGCAAAGACTGTAAATTGGTGAATACTGTCAAGAATAATGCAAATTGGACACAGGAATTAGAAGACGACAGATTGGGTGAGTGTGAGCAAATTATTATGACTTCATAAAATTATAATAAGAATGTGGATAGAACATCATATAATCTAACTTTCACTCCAACGTCACCCATATGTACAGATACCAAAAATTTTGAAATGATTTTACATGAAATAAAACTGATACATTTGGAGTTGGGTAATATAGAAGAAACGAATGTAGAAATTCAAAAGTCGATAGAATTTTTAACAAATAAATTTGATAAAATGGAAGAAAGAATTAATGCTTTAGAGAAAAATTATGTAGCTGCAGGCAAAACAATTTCAGAATTAAAGGAAAAGAATAAACATACAAAGGCAGAACTAAAATATTTAAAAGAACAATTTTGTATGCTGGAACAGAGTGTAAGCAATTCAAGCTTGGAAATTGTTGGTGTGCCAACACTTCAGAATGAAAATTTAATAGAAATAGCAAATAAAATTTTTTTGTTTGTTGATGATGGTTTTAATCACTCGTCTTCACTGAGTGCCTATAGAGTCAAACCCTGCAATAATGAAAGAAAAGCATTTAACACTAAATCACAACCAATCATAGTAAAATGTGCTAGTTCAGTTGTAAAACAAAAAATTATGAATAATATTAAAAAGAAAAAGTTAAAAATAACTACAAATGTATGTCACATTATAAGTGAGGAATACAAAATATACCGTAGACTGGGGTTACTTTGTGACAAGTACGGTAACTTTAGGACAATCACTGTTTTGAATGAATTTAAATTAAATGCCACTGCCATTTCAATGATATACAAATGATAGTGTTGTCATTGGTTCTAATGCTCCTACTGTGCTGCCACATAGTGTCAAGGCCCAGAAGCTCTGTTTGTTTTCATGCCTTTTAGGCAGCCATTTTTAGTTAGGTTATGTTTTGTTTGATCAACATATGCTCCAGACCAGTGTTTTTCAACTGGGTGCCGCGGCACCATGATTGGGGTGTCGCAAAGTTTAGAGCCTTTAGGCATTTTATTGGAAATTTACTTAAGTGTAGTCAAGATAACTCATTGTCAGTTCTATTTTGATACGAGATATCTAGTAAACAAACTATGACTAATTGCGTGTTAATGTAATGTTCTATGCTNTGATTTTTATTTTTCCATATACTTTTTTAACAAGCGACGTATAATCGGGAACGACGTAACTCGAAACGACGTAAGTCGAGGTATGCCTGTATTGTTATAAATATTTTTATCTATTTCTATTTTTAAAATGTTCGAACCGTTTTAAATTCAACTTTGTTATTGCATATTGGTTTTATTATAGAACGATTGTAAACGTTGCAGAAAATTGATCGAATTGAAAACAGTTGGTTCGATTCTCGGCAATTCTCATCATTCTCGGCGGTAGGTGTTATATAACAATTACTACGGTTGTTGAAATATTGAATGTAAATAGGGTTTGCTTGCAAAATCCGCGCGAGCGAAACCACTGGTAACAGCTAGTTATGTAATGAAAAACCCTTACAATAATAAAGTGACAATCGAAGCAAATTCAGAGGAAAAGTAATACAAGTTAGTATTATTATTATTTAGAAAGAAATACAGAAAGATTAAAATAATTGTTAAAATATAGTTTGTCATAGGCACTTTAAAAATTTTTTAAAATTGTCATGAAGATTTATAATACTATATATATTTATTGTATTTGTAAATTTTACCTATGTTGAAATTTTAAAAATCTAATACAATATAATTTTTGCCTTCTTTGATGATAAAATTTGGTTGTTCCAGAACAATTTTTTCAACGTGACAATTTTGAGCACCCCCTCCCCGTCAATTTAGGGTAATCTAGGGTAAAACGAAGGCGCCGTCAGAGTAGTTCCACCTCCATATAAACCCCAAAAGAAGGAAAGAAAAGAGGAGGTCCATCAGAAGCATGCGGCAGCACTGTCGCCACAGATCACTGGCTAGAGCTAGAAGCTTAAGGATTACACTCGATTACGATGTCGGATTTGAGAGTGTTAAGGCTATTGAGAAAGAAGGATGGTCGCTCTGTTAGCGCTATTTATTATATTGGGTTGTTCGGAAAGTTCGTAGCGATTTTTTGATAGCCGACAGTTGAAACACTGATTGACGTGAAAATGATTAGAATTGTACAAACCAATGAATATGACGATAAATGACTTTGAGACACGTCTGTTACAAAAAAAAAAGAAACGTTAAGATTATTTAAATATCATTTAATTTGTCTCATTGCAAAAATGAATGCAAATAACGTGCATTATCGACACTTGTTTCGTTTTTTTTATCGTAAAGAAAAAATACTGTACAAACAGCAAAAAAGATATGTGATGTTTCTGGTGGGAGTGCTGTAGCAGACAGTGTTGCCAGATCTGAAGGTTAAAAAGTAGCGTGGTTGTGCTCCAAAAGTAGCGGATTTGAACTGTTTGTAGCCCAAACAATAAAAATGAATTCTTTTGCAACTATGCACTTTTACTAATGAAATAAGTTTGTAATATATGTATATACATACACAGGGTATATCAGAATGACGTTTTAAAAATTTGGGGATTGTAGAGGATAAAATTTTGAATGTTTTGATATAAGGAACCTACAGCCGGAAATGAGATACGTATAAAGTTTCTACAGCACTTTGCACGTTCTATGAGGTCGGTATGCTGGATGAAACAGCAGAATACAGTATTTATGACAAGTTTTATTGACAAAACAGTAGAGTACAATCAAACTGTACATCGAATCAG